CTCTTTTGCCTACAGCGCTGGAGTTTGTTCACAAGAGATTCTTTTCTGGTCAATTACTTCCAAAAAATAAATGTGTCCATATTTTTTCCATGTATCATCATTGAATGTGCTCATAACCATAAAGAATTCAGACACCCTGTGACAGTTGTGTATAGTGAGAACAGTAAATGTGAATATGACTTTTTAGAATTGCTAGTAGTAAAATTTCGTCCATTTCACAAACTTTCCATCTTGCAAATTACAGAGGAAAAAAATATTCATTTGTGATAGCATAGTAGAAAGCTATTTATATAGTTCACCTCTTCTCCATTATGCTTTATTCACTCTGACCAGCTATGGCATGAAACCACATGGGAAAAGAGGAGGGAGACAGTCCCTTTGCCAAGGGAACTGACAGAAAAAGGCATGAAGTGAACAGAGTCTGTAAAGGTGTCAGAAGCCAGAAAGTTTGTCCTGGTAATTTTTCTCCTCTCTCCATTTTGTCAAAGAGCTATAAGTACAAGGATCTTAGTAGTCATCTCTAACTGAGCCCAGACTTAAAAAAAACTTGATATGTGACTGCTGGGAAGATTTATGAGATTTATGAAATTTAAGGAGTAATTCCTTTCAAAGACAACAATGATAGGCCAAATTTATAATGTCCCTCACTTTTATTTTCATGGGACTGGGAAACAGACAATACAGGTTCTAACTCCAGCCCTCTAACAGACCTCCAACATGATGATGATGAAATCACTCACCCTCTTCAGGCAACACCCTGGCTTCACTGAGTTCTTGGGGCCAGAATTTCAATTCCTGTATTTCACATGGAGAGAAGCAATGATCAAATGCATGTCTCACCTGAAGAGAAATACTGCAAACTACCCAGAAAATTCAAATGTATTACAGAACAGCAAAACCGTGTTGGCTAAAAATACACAAGAAAATTTAGAAAGGAAAATCTGATAAGGTTCTTCTGTGTTCCTCACACTTACTCTTCCTGTTCAGAGTGTGCTGTATATGTAAATTCTTCACCACTATGTGCTTGATTCCAATAGGACACACTCCTGAAAACTGTAGTTTTATTATTCAGCTTAATTCACTGACCTCTACAACAAAAGAGAAGCAACTTATACACCCTCTCTGTTTTTAATTGTCCTGGGAATCAATTTGTCATGTAGAATCATCTATTCATTCACGCTACAGCAGTTTCTTTAAAAAAGGATTTTTGCCATTTGCAGATACCAGGATCCAGCTCATTTAGCAGTAGCTCATTTCCCCCTGCTTCACGTTATGCCACAGAAATGCTCAAAGGAGAAACGTTGTCAGCACTTGTGGGTGCCCACTTCTCGAGGGAGACTCCTAGGATCCATAGCAGAAAACAAAAGTCGATCCTTAGGACTTTGATTCCTGACAGCCAACAAGTTATAAGTCATATAAACAAACCAGCAGGAAACAAGACTCCTGCTTATTCCTACTTTCACCTGAGTTCATCTTCGTAACTGTAGTATTTTATAACTGACACTAGGAAATTTTACCTAGTTACTTTCAGACCATTGCTCCAATTTGTCAAATTAAGTTTTAATTTTAATGATGTCCTCCGGATCACTCACAAGACAGGATGAGACGTTCTGCAGTGATTAAGTCATTAATTTCTAGTTTATTCAAGACATTAAACATAACATTAAGACATTACACATAATATCACTTTCTATTTGAGCACTGCATTTAACTAAGAAGAACAGGTTTTGGCCAGCTCTAGAAGGACGAGCCTGGAGGAGTGTTTCTCCAAATTGCAGTCGCTGCAAATAACAGAAAAGCTCACAAAAAGTCTTTGGTTAAAATTTTGATTTTTTTTTTTTTTTTTCCTCTGAGTCTAATATTCAGACTAGAGACTAGACTCTATGATCGGTTCTGACACTGACCAAACTGGGTATTTTTTTGAGATTTTCATTAGTGGCTTTAAGATTTTGGCTTTTGGCTTCAAATGTGCAGCTCTGTCCAAAATATTATTTTCATGCTCACTGAATATGATATATAAATCGTCAGTTAACTGCCAAACAGTGACAGCTCCTGATAGCCCAGCTCAATGATGTCTAGAGACTTTTTTGGCGCATTCATCTTCTGTGGACCCAATCCAGGGTAAATTCTGAAACACCACAACTTCCCCTCTGAACAAATAAGATAGCGTTGGTTATCTTCTACCCTTCTGGACACTGCTGAAAGGCAGGACTTGCCCACACCTCATTGCATTCCAGTGGCACACCTACACCAGCCTTGCAAAGCCCTCGCTATGAATCACACGTGCAATTGGCACCTCTCCTCCGACAAGAGAAGCAGTATAGCCCAACCCAAGCACTTACCCGCGCTCTAATCGTCCATTTCAATAGTTGTGTGATTTGTCACTGGAACTTGGCATAATACCCAGAGTGCATCATCTGACATCAGTTATTTTTCCACATTGACAGCCAAATGGATACTTATGTGTACACTGAGACAGAGGGAGGGAGGGAGAGATTCAGGCTTCAAAGAGTTAATTTAAAGCAGCTTCTTTGCCGCAGTGTTCTGTGTTATCAATCTTCCTTTAGTTTTCTAAGTAGCCTTTTAATCTCTGCATTTCTACTCAAAGATCAAAGCCTTCCTATTTCTTAAACAGCTAACCTTACATTATGGTTAATCCATGGAGAGCCAGGTTTTGTAAGAGAGCCATATGTGGAACAACCTGCAGGTTCTTGGGCAAATACCCAAAATTACAACACCTCTGAGGAAGGCTGAGCTGACTTTGTGGCTGAACTGACTTCAGGGAAGCTAGGAAAGGTGTCAGGGCAAGCAGGAAAACCTAACCACTTGTTAAAAAGAACTTGAACAGGGTTTCATGAGGCATGTCAGGATGTTCAAATTGTGTTGAGATGACTACATCGGAGGAAGTCCTTTTTTAAGGTTAGCACAGAAACATCTCTCCCCAAAGTCATTTGCTTATGGAAAAAAAGGAGTTACAGCAAAGAGCAGAGATCCCAAGTGGGGGAGGGTAAATTCAGAAATCTGCGTTATTTCAGAAAGCATGAAAACTGTACATCTTTCTGCACTTGAACTATTCATACTCATTGTATGAGTAATCTTTGCACAGATGTTTCAGAAATACTTTTAGCCTGGGTAGGATATGAGTGCAAAAGAAAAAGGCTTTTAGCTTGTTTGGTGGCCAAAACAAAGAAAAGCTAAATTTGTCTGTTGATTATTTAACCCAGTCAAATACTGGGTTAAAAAATATTTAAAGTGTATTCAGTGTTCCTGGTGCAAAGTATTAGTTCAGCTCCTGCTGAGCAAAGCACACCATACATTAACAGATAATACCAAAACTAATACAGCAAACCCTTTAGTATGTGGATAACCGAACTGTTAAGTCACTGCTGTATCAGATCTAATCTAGAAGCCCTCTTTCTGTATCATTAAGGCACTGCACAGAGATTTCAGTTGCTCTTGTCTGGTCTTACTCAGGTTTTGACCTAAATGATACAGTAAATTGACAGGGCACCTGGAGAAAAGCTGGCACCAGTGCTCACTGCAACTCCTAGGGATCACAGAAAACTTTGCCTGCTAGTGCTGTTGCTCTGCACAGTTCAGAAATGTTACAATTCAACAGCAAAGGACTGAGCTATTAGGTTGAACGTTTTTTTAACAGCATTTTCAATGCCTTGGTTTTTTTCCAGAATTCACCAGAGTTAAGCCAGCATGAAATTCTTGGTTCATTGCTTGCTTTCTCATAGTACTTTGAGGGAATAACATCTGAATCTAGAAAACAAGAAAATAAAATTTTACTCCTACATGTTCTTTAAGGGTATGATCCAGATCTATTGACTTTAGTGTAAACTCTGCCTGTCTTTAAAAGGTTTAATTCAAGCTTTTTAAAATATTTTTTTAAAACATGTTTGTAACAACAACAAATCAATAAAAAAATTAGGAAAAATGAAGCTCTCTATTGATTTCAGCAGAGGGAACCACCATAAGATCCTTAATGATCTCCCTACATGTTTATTCATAAAGTATGTCACAGTGGGAACATGCTAGATGACTTCCAAATTTAAACTGGTTAGAGATCCTTTCAGGGGTTCCTGGTTATTATCTGTACGATCTCACCAAAACAGATGATGTAGTATCAATAGTAATGGAATTATCAGTTAATAGATTACTATTGAATTGTCAGGACAGCAGGTTATATTCTTCTCGAGAGAATAATTTAAAGTGTATTGTTCAAGAATTTTTCCAATGAAAATTAAAAACATGTAATCTCTATTCCCAAACTGAACGAGAAAATACTGCAAATGCAGCAACTATTATAGTATACTCAAGACATACAGAGATTGGACAAAATAGTGCATGAGCCATAGATGATCAATACAATAGCCTAAGTGATTATAAAAAGCTGGCTTCCCCATAGTTCCATTTAAATATACAATCAGAACCATATTTTTCCTGGCTTATCTCCCTTTTCTCTTTCTCCATCTTTTTCTCCCCTTTTCTGTCTTATCACTGAAGAAGGTGGTGAAAAGAGAACAGAAGGAGAAGAATATTGGAAATTATTATTTTGACGCAAAAAAAAGGTTAAAAAAATTGCAATGTTTTTAGAGAATCATTTTCTAGGAATCAGTCTTTTAGAAGCAGGTGTGTCACTGGGCAGGCTCTGCAGTCAAAGAATTCTGAGACCCTTGGAGAAGCAGCATTATAGAAGTAGCTAAGAGAAAGGATACCTTGATATATGTGCTTATATACATATCATCTGGTTACATAAAGACCTCTATGTCTTATTTCCAAAAGATAGGATAAAAAAAAGTTAAAAGAAACATTCCCATAACATTAAGAAGTCGTTGCCTTCCTCATGGAACATCATAACTGATGAAGCAATTAAGTTTGAAACATTTTAAAATACTTTTGGTCAAATGCATTTGTGCTAAATGACTTCACTCTGACAAAGATCTATTCCTACTCATAAAGACAGTACTCATCTGTACTTCATTTTCAAACAGGCTTTTTCAAGAAATGCTTCGTACTGCAGAGCACAAGATGATGAATATCGCTTAGAAGTTACGACTCCTTTGCAGAGGGTTGACTTGTTCATGGGCCAATTCAACAGTGTCCTGTTAACTTCGATATCTGTCTTCACCAAAGGGAACCTTACTGTCGCTAATCTGGGAACTTCGGAGGGCCGCTTCATGCAGGTAAATATTACTATGACACCTTCACAATTCACTCAGCATTTTAAGTGTTTACATGGGCTTTGTGGTTTGGAGCAATGGTTTTTGGAGCAAATTCTACCATGATCTCTACTTAGTCCAGCTGGCTCAGTTCACAGAGCAGTTTTGGTCCATACAAACTAGATTTCTTTCAAAGGAAACTAAACTGAAAGCTCTGTCTTGGATACATAACAAATATGCTCCAAACTCAGATGGGGCAGAAATGTCCAAAACAGTGACTGATTCTTCAAACGGCTTCAGATATACACTTCATATGGGCGTTTGTCTACAGGATCAGATTAAACCTAGTTCAATGTAAAATGCCAAGACAGTTTATAATGTAGAAGCAGGAGCCTCAGCATTAGTTGTTTCTATATACCAATCCACTCCTCTGGCACCAAATTACTTGCTAATGTACCCATAGTCTATGACTCACAGCTGTAGAATTGAGATTAGCTCTTCCTCCAACTACTTTCAAGTTTCTCTGAGTGCATCTTGGATTTTCAGGCTCTTGCTCATTCCCGTCTCACTCTGTTCTTCTGGACAGCAATTCTTCCTGTCCTAAACCAGGTTTTCCGTAATAAGTGGTAAATCACCCTCTTGAGAAGTCTGTCTCCCTCCACTGAGTACATAACTAATCTAGACAGGTAAATTATACTATATGACTTCTTTGTAGGTGACTAATGAAATAAATCTAACCCACAGAGCCAACAGTCTTTTAAAAACTTGGCAGCCAAAATCAAACATCAGAAAGCAAAATACTTTGAAAGCACCAAGGGCTCTCGCTGTTCACCCATTTTATTTCAAGCACTGTCATCCTGCAATGACCACCTTGGAGACCTTGGCTTCTCCAGCTGCTACAGTGTCCAGCCTGGATGTGCATCTCAGCCTGGATCCCTCTTGCACCCAAGGACCTCTGTCCTTTTACTCTGCCAGTATTACTTGTTTTCTAGTGGGCTTCCTGAAGTATTGGCAGTCTTTGGCCCTTCTTGCTCTCTAGGCTGCAGAGAGTCATCAAAGTCAGTAGTGTTGTCCCCCAACCATCATTAACTGAAACCCGAGGAGAAGGCCATCAGTTGCTGTGTCCTTGCAGTGTTCCCGCTTCCCATAAACTTCCATTAGAAAATACTTGGGCAGATGTAACTGTTCATAAAAACAAGCCTTCCCTTTCTTCTCTCCCTTCCCCTCATTCTCTGTCCTTACCACATGCAGTAAGTAGGGCTACATACTGTCCCCCGTACATGCACCCTGTCTGGACAAAGGGAATCCTATACCTCCACTTCTGTCTTCTGTACAGACTGGACACAGAACCTGCCCCATAATGCAAAATCCATAATGCTCCTACAGGGAAGGAGGTCAAAGTGATTTACCACAAAGGACAGATGAAAAACTGGAGAAAATCATGATTCTCTTTCCTCCTAAAAGATAGGAACTTAACAAAATGTTCAATGACAACCCTGCCAGTTTTACCTGAACTTCCCATGATGACCTTGGTAACTTTAAGCTGCAGTTTGTCTTCAGCGCAGGAAAGGCAAATGCTAAGAGCACAGGACCAACCTACGTTCTGTTCTTAAATGTAGATGCTGGTTCACGCAGCGAACATGAGCAATTTGTTTAACCTTTCTGAAGCCATTTCCTTATCTACAAAATACAGTTAATAACAACTACTGTCTTACTCGCAGCATTTCTTTTGGGCTGTCACAAAGCTTTTAGGGAGGCTTGGTGGAAAGCACAAGGCAGCATTATTTTTATTTGTAACATTCTTTAAATTATTCATTCAAGTTCTGCACCACACACTTCATTCAGACGTTTGCCCAACTCAAGGAACAATTAAGATATTTCCAGAATACATTTCCCATTCCACGTTCAGTTACAAATCAAAAGAAAGGCTATTGTGTAAACTGCACATTGCCATTAGCAGAAATATTCTCATCATTGAATTAGATTGGTTTGAGCTACAGGGGGAAGTCAGCATTGGGCTCATATTGTAATAAATAGGAGCTCTTTCTTTGAGGGTTTGGTGCAACCAGCAGGAGAATAAGCATACTGACTACCTTTAATGACACTACCTCCAAATAAAAAGGTTAGAATTTGTTTTGCCTTTAAATGATCTTGGAAGGGATACTAGGTCTATAGGATACAGCAGACACAGCTTTTTGCAGAATTTAATGTTCACTTACATTAAATCTTTTTTTTTCACTAATAGTTATCTAGGAAGTGCTTTCAAACATGTTCATTAGCAAATGCCCAGCTAAAGCAGATTTGCAGTGTTTCTATGGAAATATAGCTATTAACTGCAATGAGATGGAGATCATTAAAAATTGAGCTATTAAATGACCATTACTGAAGTAAAATGGGTTAAAAAAAATCAGGATAATCTAACAATGACTTAATTTATCAAAAAGATATCCCCAAACACTTCCCCACATTTTTTAGCAAAGAAATGTAATGATGTTCTCTTTTGTTTCATTCACAAATCTACTTGAACATATGGCAAAGAATCCTCAGTTTTTCACTTATTACATACCTCACTTTTGCACAGTTATTTGCACTCATATTTTTAGCTCTTTGTACATTCAAATATTGAATTTTCCTATGCAATCCCCTTGTAACTTGTAGCTATTCAGAATTGACTATATCCTTTCAGAGACAGGTATGCTTTCGGAGAAAATTAGTTGCAAAATTCTACCTATCAGGGAATCTGTTTTAAAACTGGTTATATTGTATTAATATCTTGCAAACATTTTCATGCTAGCTCTTCAAAAGCAAAAGAAAAAATATTCATATATAGGTTTCTAAAATTAGAAAATCAGCTCAGCCCTTCCAGTGAATCCAGTTCATCTTGTATCCTCTTTGAAATACCAAACCTTACCATATTTAGACAATTTAGTTTGTGACATAAATTTCAGCACTAGCAGTCATCCGTGAGATTAAAAGAAATCATAGTACAGTACCTCTGTCTCTGACAACCACACCCTGAAGCACCCAAATATGAAACAGCTTGGTGAAAGTAATGAACATTTAATTCACATTTTTGCTGTATTAATTTAGGGTTTCCTTTAATTGTTATGAAACATATTGTGGGGAAAAAAAAAAAAAGATGTTTAAAACATAGCGATGATGTCACCTAAATTGAATTGAAGCTCCAAGCCTGTGCTGTGGAAGCCAGTAGGTACAGCAGCAAGCTATTGATGTTCAAACTGAGAGAAATTTATTTGAAAATGTTTCTCATATTCTCCCATTATACTTGCTTATACTTGATCAGCAGCCAACCACTTGACTCCCCTTCTTTTCTTATTTCCCTTTTCTTGCCATCTTTCCATCTCCTTTTCCATTTCTGCTGCTCATCACTTTATGCCTTCCTACCGCCTCCTCATCTCTTATTTCCATCTCCATCCATTTTTCTCTCTTTACCACACAACTATAGCACAGCATTGCTGCAGAAGTCAACAGAAGGTTTAACATGTAGTTTCTGAGAACAAAGTTTTTCCTTCTGTAGGTGGTGGCTATCTGATTCTGGGGTTTTGATGTTTTTAGAGACATATCACGATGAATAGTTCCTATCTTTACAAGTGATTCCACTGAAGCTTATGGCATTACCCATCAGAACCGTGCTAATGACCCAACTCAGAATATAACCTGTATTTCTCTTATTTAAAACAAGTCATCTGAGGAGCCAATAATATTCAGAATGCAAAAGTAGGTATGTTTTATCCAACCAAGGAATAGTCACCTGTTGTTTTCTGTTTGTGCTTTTAGTTTGATTAAATAGAATTACTCACTTAAATAGCTCTGGAAAACGCTAATACTAGAAAGGAAATACAGCCTCCTTCACTAAATGTTTATTTTTTTCAGCCAAAATCTAAAACTAAAATAAAATCGATCTGGATGGTCCAAATACAGAAGATTCATGAGTTCTTTTAAGGAGGATAATTGAGGCCAGGAGGTGAATTCCAAAGCTCTCCTGGAGAGTAATTGCAGCCCATTGACATACTGAACATGTTTTGGCTGCATCAGAAATGTTAAATCTTTATTTGGCTGTGAATAGATTGGAGTTTGTAGTTTACCAAATATTGTGGAGTTTCTGTTACAAAACAGAGCAGTAATAATTTTTCCAAGACAGCTGACATGCATGAGACAGAAAAGAAAAATGGTTTTACTTCCTTCCTAAGCTGGAGCCTGACAACAAGCTTTTTTCCCCCTCTTCTTTTTTTTTTCTGTTGAGAAGTTGCAGCTGTTTCGGCCTTTCTTATTGTGCTTGTTTTCAGAGTGTGACTGGGAACACAAGCTGAAAGTACAGCTGTTGGGTGCAAAGTGAATCAGGTATTTCACAGTGGTTATTTGATTAGAAAACAGCACCCAGTCACACTGCTATAGTTGAGGAATCAGATTTTCAGCTGGTGTAAAGCAGCTTTACTCTGCTCAAGCCAAAGAAGCCCTGCTGAAAATACAACTCACAACTGCAAAAGACACTTTCATTACTAGCCAGTATTTTGGGAAATTATAGTTTGTCAACCCTACCCCAGCCCCCCATGATAAATTGAGATAAAATATCTTGCTCAGGTCCAAGGTGATTTTTTTTTTTTTTCTGCCTGGAGCTTGGTATTATTTCAGAGAGTGACTTCTGAGTGATGAAGAAAAGAGCAAAGTTCTTCAGGAAGGGGAAATCTTTCCGATAGCTCTGGGGACAGTGGGATATGGGAAAGTTTTACAAGATTTATTCTGAAAAGCTCACATTTGGTCTGGCCTTAACAATGAACAAGAGATTGGTGCCCTTGATGTATACTTGGCATAATGCTATGTTTGGAAGCAGAATACTGCGTGTGGTCCCTACACTTGAAGATGACCTTACCGAGGTAAAGCCCAAGCAAATGCACTGCTTATTGGTGACCTTCTTGAGAAAGAGAGGGATAGAGAGGTTTCACTGTACATTTTACAAATACTATGGGTAACCACTCTCTTTAGATGCAATTTTGGCAGCAGGG